AGCAGGGACCCTACAGCAGGGTCCCTGCTGTAGCCCGGGCAGCAGGGACCCTACAGCAGGGTCCCTCCTGTAGCCCGGGCAGCAGGGACCCTACAGCAGGGTCCCTCCTGTAGCCCGGGCAGCAGGGACCCTACAGCAGGGTCCCTCCTGTAGCCCGGGCAGCAGGGACCCTACAGCAGGGTCCCTGCTGTAGCCCGCAGGAAATATTTTAGTGTTCTGCATAAAATGTTTAAAAAATATATGACAGTTTATAAATGAGAAATTCCAACTTTTGTGTTGCTTTATAATCTCTAAGCTCCGAACCTGTTACAGATATAACACACACACACACACACACACACACACACACACACACACACACACACACACACACACACACACACACACACACACACATGCACACACACACACACACACACACACACACACACACACGCACACACACACACACACACACACACACACACACACACACACACACACACACACACACTCACCAATTCAGGAACTTGACAGGGAAGACAAGGATAAACTATTCAACACTGGCGGTACGTGAACAAGGGGACACAGGTGGAGACTTAGTACCCAAATGAGCCACAGGGACGTTAGAAAGAACTTTTTCAGTGTCAGAGTAGTTAACAGGTGGAATGCATTAGGCAGTGATGTGGTGGAGGCTGACTCCATACACAGCTTTTAATGTAGATATGATAGAGCCCAGTAGGCTCAGGAATCTGTACACCAGTTGATTGACGGTTGAGAGGCGGGACCAAAGAGCCAAAGCTCAACCCCCGCAAGCACAATTAGGTGAGTACAATTAGATGAGTACATATTTTTAACAAATAAAGGGTTTGATAAATGATTTATCTTGTCATCAGAGTGAAAGCATTTTAGCATTATGAATAAACTGTGTATCTATGAGTTAGGGTTATAGTGCTCGACTGACTCAGCAACATAGAAAATAACATAAACCGAAGGGGATAAGGCTGTGTGGCTCAAGTGTACCACGGGAGACGTATCCCAAGAGTACAGAAGATATAGACCATCTTCTGTCATTTGATAAGACGAGAAGGCCTCGAGGCTCCCCGCGAGGACACCAACTACCATAACACATCTTCCAGTGTAAGCCAACATATAGGAGCAAGGATACTTATAAAACCCCAAAAGGGGAAATTCGCGTCATCGAACACTGCCTGAAAGAATTAAAACTGACGATGGAAGACAGTACGTGGAGGGGGGGGGGGGTGTTGTCGAAGGGATGGGGGTGTAGGTAGGGGGTGAAGGGTGGAAAGGTGATGGGAGGGGGTCGATGGAACAAGTTTTGGAGGTGGGAGGGGAGAATGCCATAGACTCACTTGGAGTCCTCTTGATGAAAGATGAAGGTGACGTTGGGTGGCGTAAACTCACCTGGAGTCCTCCTGAAGAGCCAAGTGAAGGTGAGGAAGAGGGTAGATTTGCCTGGAGTCTCCTGATGGCGCAGGTGAATGTGAGAGAGGGGATTGAAGTAAAAGGCATGACACCGTAGCGGGAACTTTTTGGTTTTGGAAAAGTTTCCTTCTGGTCTTAAGGAATTCTTATGTAGAAAATATTCCCGCTGTGGTGTTAAGGAATTCTTATGGAGAAAATGTTCCCGATGCGGTCTTAAGGAATTATTATGGAGAAAATATACACGCTAAGTTGCACCCCATTTATGAGTGATATTAAAGTCAGAGGTGGACCATTTTCAGATATAAGTTAACTAGGGGTTTATCATGCATTTTAACATGGCTGACTTTAATTCCGGGGATCAATGTTCCAATGGCCAGAAGTTACATTCACGAAGAAGTTACGCAAGCACGTACAAACTTGTACATCTTCTCTCAATCTTTGGTAGCTTTGTTTACAATTATTAAACAGTTAATGAGTTCGGAAGAACCAGGAGGCTGTTTATAACAATAACAACAGTTGATTGGGAAGTTTTCATGATTGTAAACTGTTTAATAAATGTAACTAAAGCCGTCAAAGATTGAGGGAAGATGTACACGTTCGTAAGTACTTGTGTAACTGCTTCGTGAATCTGGCTCCCTGGTCACGAGGAAAATTTAAAGCTAAGCTGTCATCGTTTCAAGACTGAAATCGTGGTCGTATCAAGTCTACCTTCGGAGGATATGTTAATTAGGAGTGTCTGAAGTAATTAGATGTGTCTGACTTTAGTTCTTAGACTTGCCTCCTAACGTTTACAGGTGTAGTTTCCTTACTATCAACGTGATTTTCAGAAGATTTAAAAGGTACTTATTTCAGAAGTAGTAAACAAGAAAGAGTTAGTTACCTAGTTTAGGCTCTTGTCCCCCGACTTAGTTCACTTTTGTATTTTCGCTATTAACTGTTCAATTTCCCCGAGATTTAAAATATAGTTATTTCTGTCACATTAAGTATAACGAAATATTTACCGAGTTTCAGCTCTGGTCCTCTGCCGTAGTTCTTTCTTGTAAGTTCGTAACTAATAGTACAAATCCTTCAAATTTAAAACGGATATATTGCTGAGGTATATTTCTGAGATAGATCTATGTAACATATAGGAGGGAAATACACGTCATCGAACACATGGAGAGAAGTAATTAAAGCTGACGAGAGAAGGTGGAGGTGGAGGTGGGGGGGGGGGGGGTGATGTCAAAGGGGAAGATGTGTGGGTCAAGTTCCATCCAAGTAGGATGGAAGGGAAGGGGAGGGGGGTCGAAGGAAAAAGTTGAGGAGTTTGGGAGGTGAGAATGTGTAGACTCACTTGGAGTCCTCTTGATGAAAGATGAAGATGACGTTGGGTGGCGTAAAGTAGTTACTGAGCTCTAACTCTTCAACCTTAATTCAATGTTCACCAAAACATTGTTGTTCCTGAACAAGTGATTTAGCTCCCATCCGTCGCGTTTATCAAAGTAAACATGTTTCACAGATCAACGTACATACTCTTCCATAAGTCTGGTGTCGCTATCTCACCACTGAGACTTGTACCTTAACACGAGTCATGACCTCTCATTCAATATACGTACATGTGTGTGTGTGTGTGTGTGTGTATGTGTACATGTGTGTAAATAAACACTCAGGTAGAGCTACAGTCAAGTAACACTTATGTTCCTATAACGAACCTTATCAACACATTTGCGGGTGCCACCAGTCTCCCTACCCCCCCTGCTCCACTCCTCTCCTCCTGCTCCATGTGCCCTCCACCTTATCGCCTCCCTCACCCCCACAGCTCCCATATCTCCTCCCGCGCACCCTCTCTACTCCCCGGCATCTAAACACCCCCCTCCCCTTCCTCACCCTCTCATTTCCACCTCGTGCCATATGAAATAATTATCTCTCTCTTTTCTCTCTCCAATTTTCCCATTCTACATCTCTCTCTCTCTCTCTCTCGTCTCGTGGAACAATGTTTCCTATACAAACAGCTATTATCAAGCATCGCACAGATTACCTTCTTACTGTATTTTGTCAGTACTCAAGTGTAAATACGCAACTTCTCTGTACTCGGGATATGTTATTACATGTTTTTTATATATTCTAGGCATGTTGTAACACTACACATAGTGTTGGAACATGTAACATAACACTATGTTATGTTCTAACATCATCTCCAGCATATCGTGTTACACGTTTTTACATGTTTCCTCCGTCCTTTGCATATTCTGACATGTTCTCTGTACTTCTTGTTACATGTACTCCATGTTCTCAAATATTCTCAAATGTTCATTCCATATTTGTAAGTTCTTTCCATGTTCTACGAATGTTCACAGCACGTTCTTTGCATACTTTGTATGTTCTCTCCATGTTTTCAGAATGTTCTTACATGTTTTCTGCACAATTACACGTTCTTACATGTTCTTTGGCTACCATTCACATGTTCTCTTTATGCTATTCATGTTCTCAGCATGTTCTCTTTACATTATTCATGTTCTCTGTAAGTTCAGTTCATGCTCTTTTCATATTCTTACATTGTATATTCATTCTCTAGATTTCTTTAAACCACAATGTACAATTATTTTCAACTAACATCTTTATACAGTAACTGTTCTTTGTAACATATTATAAACAGCATTACTGTTTTTCAGCAAATTTATTTATATATTTACAAATTATCTACTTTTATTTAAAATTAACTTGCTCACTTTCCTAAACGTTCACAAGTCATCTTTTATAGAAAAATTTTCTCAAACTTACACAAATTACATTAACTTAGTCATACATGCAACTCAACACTCTTAACCTATCCTACTTTCACAAACTCTAATGTCAGAACATTGCACAAAACGCACATTCAACTATTTCACCTATCTTAACTCAATCTAACCTTAATCTTGTGTAAGTTGGGTTAGGTAGGTTAGGTAAGGGAAGTTTCGTTAAGTTAGGTTTAGTAAGTTGTATTAGGTAAGTTATGTTATGGAGGTGAGGTTCGGTAATTAACATATCCTCTGAAAATGGTCCACCTCTGACTATAGTTTCACTCATCAACGGGGTACAGCTTAGCGTATATATTTTCTCCATAAGAATTCCTTAACGCCGCAGTGAGAATTTTCCTCCGTAAGAATTCATTAACACCGCAGCGGGAACATTTTGGGAACATTTTCTCCATAAGAATTCCTTAACACCGCGGCGACGAATTTTCTCCATAACAATTCCTTAACACCACAGCTGCAACATTTCAACAAAACAATTCCTTGAGACCATAGCGAGAAATTTTCCCCATAAGAATTCCTTAAGACTGCAGCGAGAACTTTTCCAAAACCAAAAAGTTCCCGCTACGGTGTCATCCCTTCTACTGATAGACTCACCTGGAGTACTCCTGATGGCCCAGGTGAAGGTGAGGGAGGACGTAGACTTACCTGGAGTCCTCCTGATGGCCCAGGTGAAGGTGAGGGAGGACGTAGACTTACCTGGAGTCCTCCTGATGGCCCAGGTGAAGGTGAGGGAGGACGTAGACTCACCTGGAGTCCTCCTGATGACCCAGGTGAAGGTGAGGGAGGACGTAGACTCACCTGGAGTCCTCCTGATGGCCCAGGTGAAGGTGAGGGAGGGGGGGTAGGCCTGCAGGTTGCAAGCCACAGTCACCGACTTTCCCCGGACTCCTACGTACTCCAGACGCTGACCTTTCTCACACACCGGGGCGACTGTAAAGGGTGAGAAGGGTAGTGAGAGACGTGGAGGTGAGAGACGGGGTAGTGAGAGACGGGGAGGTGAGAGACGGGGTAGTGAGAGACGGGGTAGTGAGAGACGGGGTAGTGAGAGACGTGGAGGTGAGAGACGGGGTAGTGAGAGATGGGGTAGTGAGAGACGGGGTAGTGAGAGACGTGGAGGTGAGAGACGGGGTAGTGAGAGACGGGGTAGTGAGAGACGGGGTAGTGAGAGACGGGGTAGTGAGAGACGTGGAGGTGAGAGACGGGGTAGTGAGAGACGGGGTAGTGAGAGACGGGGTAGTGAGAGACGGGGTAGTGAGAGACGGGGTAGTGAGAGACGGGGTAGTGAGAGACGTGGAGGTGAGAGACGGGGTAGTGAGAGACGGGGAAGCGTAGGGATCGAGAGGCCTGGGAGCACGAGGAGGGGGAGCAAGAGGCGAGGAAGTAAGATGTAACAACACCATAAATGGTTTGATTTAATATTTAACATACAATGAGAGTCAGTCACGCAGGATGTTGGCAGCGCCAGGCTGCCCGGCCCTAGCATGTCAAAAGTCTTAAGTCACACCTTTCAAGTGTTAATTGTTCACAGGTTGAGTAGAGGTCAGGTCGCATCAGGTGACATAGCTCTCTGCTAAGCTGATAATTGCAGACGGGTGGCTGTGTTGTTTCCATCAAACAAGCCGTTGTGTAGGTGTGGTAGGAAGATACCCAGAAGCTATCTCCTGGTAGGTGGAGTTTAGCTCCTGGTACCCCCCTTAAATACCCGTGGAACTGTATATATGGAGAGATATACATTGAACAGGGAAAGAAGTGGTGGAGGTTAGAGGTGTGCTTGTGGCTCTGGGAAGGACATCGTCTCAGGGTCACGTGGAACAACGGGTATAGTCAGCACGGCATTTTTGTACCCAACACTTTACCATTCAATTATCTTTGCCTCTGTTAGGGAACATAGTTAGGCAGTGTCTTTTTATATTTGTTAAATAAAGTCATATTTTCACGTTTCATTCCAGTGTGTATTAATAGTTCCTGTCTTTGTGACATTGGCCTTACTGCCCCCTGTGACCCCTAGTGCCCTTAATTATGCAGTACTCCTCCCTCTTCAGTCCCTTGTTGTGGTGTGCCAGTACTCAGAGTGTCCAGCCTCCTGGTACTGGCTGGTCCCGTGTAGTCCATAGTACACCTCAAGTGGTTTCAGGATTATTCGAGTTATATGCCAAGATCCTTTTACCATTCATTTGTTCCTTACACCTGTCTCGGTAGGATATGGTACAATCTACAAGTCCTACGGTTCTCTCCCTCCGGTCCCCTGTCCCGTAACTCAGGGTGGTGGTGGCAGCGTTATTTCATATTTGGTAAGTATTACACAGACCATAGCAGCTAATATTTTCATCTCTCCCTCTATCGCTCTCTCGCTTTATCTCTCATGCTCTCCTTCCCACTCTCACTCTAGTTCTCCCACGTTCTCGCTCTCTCTCTCCCTCTCGCTCACTTTCTCTCACTCTCTCTCTCTCCTTCGCTCTCTCTCTCGCTCTGTCTCACTCTCTACTCTCTTAAATTGCCTACACAGAGCTCAGTCTATCTTGAGTAATTATTTAGGACCTGGTATGACGGAGCGAGTGTTAATACATTACAATAGCAAGGAGCCCTGGTTATTACAAGAAAGGGTGATAGCAACTTCCGTCATTATAATGGTGGCCTAGTGGTGGTGAATATTAGTGTCGACAGTGTTGAGACTCAAGTGTCTTGTGCCGTTCCTTGTAGTTACTAACTAGTATTAAGTGGTGGTTCTGTTCATGTTATCACTCTTGACTGAGTTACCCCATTTGAACGCAATAACTTGAGTTGTACGGGTATTGTACAGCACGCTAGTGGGGACTAAGTTAGTAATTATCAAAAGAAGATGGGAAGGCCATGTAGCACTAGTGGGGACTAGTGTGGAGGCGTCCGGAGCGGGAGGAGAGGAGGAGCCAGGGAAAGGTAAAGAGAACACCATCAAGACTGACATCCCGTGAGACACACTGTTGTGTAATGCTTCACATTCTAAAGATTCCCATATATCTTTGAGCCATTCTCCACAGCGATCACACCAAATTATTGGGAAGAACCTTGTTTCCAGTTCTACTACTTTATATTTATTATATTGCCGTTTAATATTATGTAATGTTGAGCCGGTTATGAGGTAGGACAGACCAGCGGGAACAAGCGTGTGCCAGTAGACTTAAAGTCTGGGGACGTCGGGTGTTTAAGGTCCGGTCACGGTGTAGTGACAAAAGTTTTGAGTTGTGGACCCGCAGAGAGGCGAGGGAAACAATTCTGGGTCACGTGATGTGGCTGTAGTTTTAACCCTGGAAACACAAACCGAAATTGTCTCTATTTTTCCGCTTGTTACAACTTGTAATAGAGTTGTTACGTCTTGGCTTAACGTGTTTATGACGTATTAGAACGTTGTTACAACTTGCTATATTGGTTGTTATAACTGGTTAGGAGATGTTATAACTTGTTCGAACGTTGTACCAACGTCGTAGTTTCGGTGTGTGTTTGGCGGGGGGAAGGTGTAGGAGTAAAGGCTAAATTAAGAACTCTTTAATTAGGAACGGGACTGTTAGGTCAGATTAGTGTTTTATATGTCTTGAGTGGCATCTGTCAACCCCCCTTCCCCCCACCCGCCCGCCCCGCTCGCCCCCCCCCCCCTTGCGTCTCTACCATCATATTCTCAGAGACTTTGGTGAGTGAACTAACTTGTCAGGTTGACGTATATTGTGTTTTCAAATGTTAGTGTTGTGTGTGATAGTATGGAGCTGTCAGCCGTAGTTGCTCAACATTCTTGCCTGATGACTCAAATTCTGAATAAATGTTAATACTTGAACATCAGGTGAAGTGGTTGAATTATGATACCCATGAAAATATGTAATAAAAAATATTTAATTGGTTAACTAACTTTCAAACTGTCTTTCATTCTGATCCCTAGATCTTGGATTTTCTGTGATACAGTGAAAGCTAGAGTGGAGAGCACTCTCAAATTGACTCACTCTCAGCACTCTCAGACAGAGTAGCTCACAGACACTCTCACACTCAGAGAGAAAAGCACTCTCTGAGCATAAGATCATGACTTTAAAGATTCTTGACAATATGAATGACATGCTTACAGTTGTTACCTGATAACCTCAGATAATATTGTGGTACACACAAGTTCCATTCCTGCTCTTATAAATAATTCCTTGAAAGGATGGTGGCAGATCTTTCCTCCTTGATACAATCCTTCAGCACTTTCCTCCCGCTCTCATTCTTCTCTCATTCTAAACTTTCCCTTTCTCCTGACCACTCTTCCTCACTCCTCCCTTCCATCTTTCTACCTCCCTCATTCTACCTTTCTCCAATTTATGTTTCGTTAGTGAGAGATGGGAGGTAGTGAGAGACAGGGGGGGAGGGTAGTGAGAGACAGAGGGGGGGGGAGGGTAGAGGAGAGCGGGGGTAGGGGGTAATGAGACATAAGTCACAGAAAAATGGAGTTTAACGCCATGATTTTTTTTTTTAAATTGACATCTGGTTATCTCTGATGACGACCTATTGGGAACCTGTCGACCTCAGATCCCTGTTGACTGTTGACTGTGATCCTGTTGACTGTGATCCTGTTGTCTGTTGACTGTGATCCTGTTTTCTGTTGAGGGTGGTCCTGTTGACTGTTGTATGTGATCCTGTTGACTGTTGTGTGTGGTCCTGTTGTCTGTTGAGTGTGATCCTGTTGACTGTTGTATGTGATCCTGTTGACTGCTGTGTGTGGTCCTGTTGTCTGTTGAGTGTGATCCTGTTGACTGTTATGTGTGGTCCTGTTGACTGTAGTTCTGTTGACTGTGGTCCTGTTGACTGTTGTGTGTGATCCTGTTGACTGTTGTGTCGGGTCCTGTTGACTGTTGTGTCTGATCCTGTTGACTGTTGTGTCGGGTCCTGTTGACTGTTGTGTCGGGTCCTGTTGACTGTTGTGTCTGATCCTGTTGACTGTTGTGTCTGATCCTGTTGACTGTTGTGTGTGGTCCTGTTGACTGTTGTGTCTGATCCTGTTGACTGTTGTGTGTGGTCCTGTTGACTGTTGTGTCTGATCCTGTTGACTGTTGTGTCTGATCCTGTTGACTGTTGTGTGTGGTCCTGTTGACTGTTGTGTCTGATCCTGTTGACTGTTGTGTGTGGTCCTGTTGACTGTTGTGTCTGATCCTGTTGACTGTAGTTCTGTTGACTGTGGTCCTGTTGACTGTAATTCTGTTGACTGTGGTCCTGTTGACTGTTGTGTCTGATACTGTTGACTGTTTCGTCTGATCCTGTTGACTGTTGTGTGTGTGTGATCACCATGTGAGAGAAACGACCAGTCCCTGTGAGAGTGTGCCATGGGGCTGCGTCCCAACCTGCGTACCTGGTCTACCCCCCGCCAACCCCAACAGTCTTACAGATCCATCGGGCACTCTTGTCCCCAGGGAGTGTTCACCCTCCGCTGCACCAGGAGACGACCTTTGTGTACCCGGCTGTTGTGCCATAGCTCTCTGTGTCAGCCATCTTGACTGACAGCTATTGTGCCATAGCTCTCTGTGTCAGCCATCTTGACTGACAGCTATTGTGCCATAGCTCTCTGTGTCAGCCATCTTGACTGACAGCTATTGTGCCATAGCTCTCTGTGTCAGCCATCTTGACTGACAGCTGTGTATTGATGCTAGACTTGTGGTCGCCTGTATTGAGTGTACAGTGACGGTGTATAATGGCTACAGTGATGGTGTAGGGGATACAGTGATGGTGTAGGGGCTACAGTGATGGTGTATAGGGGCTACAGTGATGGTGTATAGGGGCTACAGTGATGGTGTAGGGGCTACAGTGATGGTGTATAGGGGCTACAGTGATGGTGTATAGGGGCTATAGTGATGGTGTAGGGGCTACAGTGATTGTGAAGGGACTACAGTGATGGTGTATAGGGGCTACAGTGATGGTGTATAGGGGCTATAGTGATG